CATCATCAGTAAAATCAACAGCAGCAGCAATAATTCGGGGCATGCCCACAGCCCTTATTCACTTACAACCAATCTGAATAGTAGAGTTCTGCAATCTTAGAGCTAGAAAGGACCGCCAGGACTCTTATGTATTCATTCATTCATTCATTCATTCATTTTTATTTATTTATTTTGGCAGCTGGCTGGTGTAGAGATCCAGATCCTTGACCTTGGTGGTTGTAACATGGCACTTTAACCAGCTGAGCTAACTGGCCAGCCCTAGGACTTCTAATTCACAACAGAAATCCAGGCTTTAGGACAATAAGGGGCTTGCTCAGATCATGGGATCTCCGAACTCAGGTCTTAGAACTGGGGTCTTGGAACTCCCTAGCTGTGCTCTTTCCTGCAGTCCCCCTGTAGACCAGTCTATTTGTGCCAGATGGTCAGTCTCCAGGCCCTAGAGAGGACTGTATGACTCACACAAATTGTACACTCTGCAAAATTCCAAATTGTCCCCTGATGCTCTCTAGTGTCCACAGAGGTTTCCCATGGAGAGGGAGAGATACTCTAGCCTCTCCCATCTCCCACCTCGGTTCCTGAGCAGTTTTCTCTTTGAGAACCACGGTTCCTGGGCCTGGTGTCTAAAACCCTTCATAATCTTGTCTTTTGCATTTCCAACCTCATGCAGAGAGCTCCTTCTGCATGAGGGCACCGTCCTTTCTAAGCCTCCATCCTCTGCACAAGTGGTCCCCTCTCCCTGGAATGCTCTTCCCTCTGCTCTGCTTAAGGGCTAATCCCCTACCTTCAAGGCACATCAAATGGACAACCTCTGTGAGGCCTTCCCTAGCTCCCCTGGCTGGAGCTGCTTTGTCCCCTGAGCACACATCAGTCAATGTCTTATCACAATCCTGCCACTAGTGTTGTTTAAGTGTGGGTCTCACCTACTACACCATCTGGGGTCTTCTTTATGGCTAGTCCTATTTCTCTTTTCCTTTCATGTCTTGGGGGACTGTTGCACACCTGGCATG